ACCTAGAATAATCATCTATGGAAGTAATAAAATATTCATTATAACATAAGTTCTAACACTTGAGACTATAAATATTCAAGTGTATCAATTCTAAAAGTTTATTGGTTCTTTATCTGCTAATAAAAGGTGGCCTAGGTATTTTACTACTTAGACAATGATGCTAATTAAACATTAAATAGTCTAGATAGTGAGTTCGTTCTGGTAATCTAATTTATTTTTAAAATACTAACATGTCCTAGTCTAAAATTTCACAATTCAGACTCAAAAATATAACAGGAAAAGTAGTTCAAATTAGAGTTTTCATTACCAGAATTACTGCAAACTACTAGAAGGATACTCAATTCTTGTTCGGGTACATAGTTTCCCAGAGCATGGACTTTTTTTTTTTCTATAGAAACAATGTTATTGTAGAACCTAATTTCCAGTCTTTCTTCATCAAGCTAGGAACATAGATTATATTGCGTCAAATTCCTGGGGCGTAGAACACTTCTTTGAGGACAAGAACATTGTCCCCAAGATCCAATCTATACGAATCAATATCTTCTATGTCGAGATAGGTATTGTTTTCCATATAGATCCTATGTTCTCCTTTTTTCAACTTGGTGAACTTTGTGACTCCATTCTTGTCTTTTATGATATGCCTAGTCACACTAGAGTCGATCCACCAACTGTTGATGTCCGTCATCACAGTGTTGTATTCCGTCATATCGAAAAATTCTCTCTTGTTGATACTTCTTGGCTAATAGCCTCCTTTATTCTCTTGCTATTCTTCTTGTGTAAAGTTAGATTTGAAATGTCCGAACTTTTTAAAGATGTAGTAGGCTTCGCGCGGGTACCTTGTTTGTAAATTGTTGTGATTTTAGACCTCTTTGTTATGGTTTATTAGGGTCAAGCTTTCTATTTCTTCCAGTTTATTGCCTCTGCTGCACATAGTTCATTTCTGGTTGCATCATGCTTAGTTTTAGTTCCTTCCTATTGGTTAAATCTTACTTTATAGCTAAGTGCATTGGCAAATGAGTTACATATTCTATTTTCGTCAGATACATAATTACGAGGGTTAGAGTGGATTTGGAAGAGCTTAGGGTCCCCCAATCTTTTCTTTGATGGCTGATCACTCTGAGCAGAAGAAGATTCCTACACAGATGTGGAATGTTAGATGGTCGGAGTTGGGTTCTTCAGCGATTCTTCCGATGATCAAGTTAGTAATGATCTTAGAAAAAACTATATTGTTTATGTCAGAAACGATATTATGTGGGTTAGGGTGGATTTGGGTGAGCTTAGGATCCCTCAATCATTTTTGATGGCTTATCCCTATGAGCAGAAGAAGATGCATGCACAAATGTAGAACGTTAGAGGGCCGGAATTGGGTTTTTTGGTGGTTCCTCCGACAATCAAGTTAGTGATGATCTTAAGGAGAAAACTGTATGAAATAAGTAGTTTGTAGGGTTTTTTGCCATAGAGATTAGTGTATGTTCATGCAGAAGACAATCTGCATATTTATGGTAAGCCAAAAAAGGGTATTCATGTAACTTTGGTCGGGTCTATGTAGTGGGCTTAGTCAGCCGACACTTTACACGCATCGGCAGTTGGTGGCCCGAGTCATTCTTGCATTTAATATGGTGGCGACAGATTGGCTTAGGTGCTGGCGTGGTCCTAGGAGTTATTATTATTTCGACGGGGGAGTAATGACGGTTATGACTGTGCATTTAATGCGACAGTGACTAGCTGACATCGTTGGAGAAGACAAAGCAGGTAGGTTTCCCTATGGTTTAAGATGCGTCATTTGGTCCGAGTGGAGGCGCCTTTTCGTCTTGATCCTTTGAGAGAGTCCGAGTGAGGATGCCTTTCGTCTTGGGCTTTTGAGAGAAAACTTGGGCGAGGATGCTTTTCGTCTTGAGACTCAAAGTGCATTACGAGGAGACGACACTCATGAGGCCCCAGTTGAGCTAGTTTTTAACTTTCGTCTTGAGTCCCAAAATTCTTAAGTTAGCTTGTCGAAACATGTGTCGTCCCCTCAACAGTAGTTTAGACATAGCAATTTCGGTGTTAGAATAAAAGAAAAGCGCCCAAGATGTAGATGACAACTTAATTCAGTTGTGAAAAGATACTAGATTTTTGTTGTTAATTCAGTTTTGATTATGACGATGAGAGAGATTTTATTGATTTTGACAAAACTATATCTTTGAGAGAGATTTTTTTTTTATTTTTGATTTTTCTTTTTTTTCTTCACATGCTTTCTAACAGCTATTTTAGTTTTAAAATAATCATTTTTTCACTGAATGTTATTTATTATTAATAGAATTTTAGTTTTTCTTTTTTCCTTTAATGGTTTTTCGCAAAATTTTGGTTTTAATTTTTTCCCCTCCATGGGGTTTTTAGGTAGTGACAATACCTCTGTACGGAAAATATTAGTTCTTGATTTTAACTAGAGTAAAGATATCTCCCCTTTTGACAGATTTTAGATTTATATTAGTTGTACTATTCTCTCTCTTTTAATATTTTATACATTTTTAAAAATCCCACCTGTATTGGAAATCCCATTTTAAAGATATTGTTGTAAAAATTCTAACAAAAATTAACAACTGTGTGAAGATATTTGTTTAAGTATTAAATAAAACATCAAATTTTTCCTTTTTTTTCTTCTCCGTATGATTTATTAGTTGTGATTAACTAGAAAGATATGTCTCTAAATCTCATTTGAAAGATTTCTTTATTGGGTTTTTCTAACGGGTGTCCTTGGGCACCCGTTAATTTGAATTAGTTTAGCTACTTATGGACAATCTCAATTAGTGCTTGATTGCAATTAAGAATTACATGTCTCTTAATCCTGCCATTTATGGATCATCCCAATTCAAGACACAATAACACAAGATAATTCAAAGAGTTTCCTTCCTCATCCTTCTCCGCCATCACGAGCTCTTTATTATGATCAATAAGAAAAAACACATGATAATTCAAACTTGGATAAGAATTTTTTTCATTTGACTTATATTTGAAAAATTCAGCTTTGCAAAATCAATAACAAATGTATTGTTTTAATATTTGATCAAATGCATAGAATGTTTTCATTTGACTTAAAGTTTGACAATTTTTCGAATACATAAAGTTTGACAAAATGAAAGATATAAGTCAAATATGTATTTATATTTTTGAACTTATCAATAAACAAACATAAGAATTACTGAGCGTTTGGCAACCGTGACGTTTTTGCCGTTTCTGTTTTTGTTTTCAACAAAAACAATAAAGCGCGTTTGGCAACCGAAGCGTTTTTTTTTGACTTGACCATTTACAAAATTCAAAAAATAAACACTTTTCTCAAAATATCAAAAAGTTGTTTAGAGATTTTGTTTTTTCATATAAAGCGTCGCCGCCGGCCACCACGCTTTTCGGTCCCGTCGCCTTGTAGCCGCAGCTCTAGCAGGCCAGGCCGCTGGTCCTCTCCATTCGTCGCTGGGCCGGCTGCTCGCCACCGCCGCCGCCGCCCATCCGCCCTCCGCCTGCCCGCCTTCGTTTTTTCCTCTATCGGTCGTCCGCCCGCCTTGCTGCCCGGTTTTCCGCAAGTCATTTCTCGGCCGCCGTTGCGCCATCTGGTAAATTTTGCGTTCGCCCGTTCAGACGCACCGCCTCATCGTCCGGCCGCAGTCGTTCGCTACCGGGCCCGACCCGTCGTCGCGCCATCGCCGTCATCGCTCGCCACCGACGACGACCGCCCATCGTCCGGCGCCGGCCTAGGCTGCCTGTTCCCAGCACCAAACTGTCGCCGGCACCCCGCACAGTCGCCCGAACGCCTCCACTCGTCAGCCGCGCCGCCGTGTCGGCCACGTGGTCGTCGTCGCACGCCGCCTGTCGGCCGACCACCATCGCCGCCCGCCAGGGCCCGTTCGCTCGGCCACCTGCGCCCGCCCGCGCTGCTCGGCCACCTGCCGCCCGCCCGCCGCTTGCTCGCCACCTTCGCCACTCGGTGTCCTTACCCGTCACTGGCCATGCGTCCGCCTGTCCGCCCGTTTGGCCGTTCGCCGCGCCAACCGCACGTCGGTCGCTGCCGCTTTATAAATAATAACTATAAATGGTGTTTTCAGAACATGTTTGAAAAAAAAACACCATGACATGGTGTTTTTCTAAAAAACACAACAAAAACAAACACCTCGATTACCAAACACAAAATGAGCTCTTCTTTTTTGATAGATAATAAAATAGTTACCTTGAAGGTATGGTGGAATTGAGCTCTTCTTTTTTGATAGATAACACCTCTTTAATTTAACTCTGTTTTCAATAAAACTTAAAATAAATTGAGTTTTGTTCTTTTATTACTTTGAAGGTGAAATATCATCTGGAGGGAAGTGAGAGAGAGAGAAAAAAATTTGGTGCTTGATTTGGAATGGTTAATAAATGGTAGAATTAATCGATATTTGATTCTTAATTGCAAATTAGCACTACTTGAGGGATTATTCATATATAGGAAATCTAATCTAAATTAATAGGCGCCCAAGGGCACCTGCTAGAATACCCTTTTTTTGATAGAGAATAATCTTAGGTAATATTTAAACTGAAAATTTGTTTTTCCCTTTTTGTTTCCACCCATAAGTTTTTATCTAAAATAGGTAGATTAAAGGAATTTTACTATGGATATTTTTGTACATAAATGTTTTGGTCAAAATATTTATTTATGGATGGAAATTTTGGTGGAATAATATGGTGCTATATGGATGCCACGTGGCAGCTCTAGTTGCAGTTGCATTAGTAGCATAACTACAGATTGCAATTAAAAATTACATGTCTATTAATCTTACCATTTATCGATCATCCCAATTCAAGGCACAATAACACAAGATAATTCAAAGAGTTTCCTCCCTCATCCGTTCTTCGCCATCACTAGTTGAAGCTTACAGAAAGTTGTCCAACCGCATATTGCATCACCTGTCCGACTAAATTTCACACCTTATTTTATTTCAAGCAAAACATTTCTCAATGCTAAGCACCATGTAAAAACTGACAACCAGGCACATATGGTGGGTGAACACGGCGACAGCTCAGTAGCTCTCTGGTCAAGCATCACCGTTGGGGGAGTGCCCGTCCTAAGCTCCCTCAAGAACAGCCAGATCAAATATGAAGAAGAAGCCCTAGAGCGCATACGCAAGGCCGTTGTTGGGAGCGCCTACGAGGTCATTCGGCTGAAGGGTTACACGTCATGGGCCATCGGGTACTCCGTCGCCAACCTCGCTCGGACGCTCCTCCGTGACCAACGTCGTATCCACCCGGTTTCTCTCCTTGCCAAGGGATTTTACGGGATTCCGGATGATAAGGAGGTGTTTTTAAGTCTCCCTGCTCAACTTGGACGGAAGGGAATTATCGGAGTTGCGAATGTGGAGCTTACTGAGGAGGAGAGTGTACACCTCAGGCGGTCGGCGGAGACGCTCTGGGAGATTCAGCGGCAACTTGATTTATGAAGGTTGTGTGATCTTGAATGCAGTGTTTTGATACTTTTGTGTTGCTTTGTTGTATCGTATGTACTTTTTGTATGGGACTAGGCTATGAAACATGTGATGTTATTGCTCATGAGCGACTGCTCACTGAAGTAGCTAGAAAAGCTTACATTATTATTGTTGTCAAAATGCATGTCTTTGTTACTCTAGTTTGAACATCAGGAAGGTCATACCTGAGGGAAAATCTATTGTAGGTCCTCTATGCGGAGATTTGGGAAATTCTATTGGGTGACAATGTCAAGTTACCTTCTTATTTTGGATTTCTTCTGATCATTTGATGAAGGAAATGGAAACACCTGGAAACAAATAGTTTAAGGAAAAATTGCTTCTGACCCCTTATTTAGAAATCATGCTTCCACCTGATCAGTACAACCGTGTTTAATGCTTTTATGTTAACTACATGGGTGTGTTGGCAACCTTTTATAAGTGGAGCAAGGATGAACCATACCCAGTTTATTTGTTTATTTTTTATAATTGCTTTGATTCCTCTACAAGCAATGCCAGCAGGACCCAAAAATGAGACAAATATAGGGGATAAGTGATTTGGTATGCTGATGTATTAAATGAATCATCAATGAGTTGGCAAATACTAATTGTCAATCAAGGACATTTTGGTGATTATATGTGTCATCTCGTCCCATCTGTACAAACCCAAGACGCTATTATTGTCATTTTCCCACTGTTGTATCACAGAAATGACAAAGTATTAATCCTCTCCCAGAAGTCGACACGTGTCCCATGTTAACTAGGCACCAAATCAACTCAGCCCTGTTGGCCTTCTTTTTTTGATGATGTTTAACAAATAATTTATAACTAATATTGTTTGTCTAGTGTTTGTGTTTATCTATTTATTGTAGACAAACAATATGTTGGAGGATGGATGGAACTACGCTTCAACGATCATATCCAATGGACGTTGGCGGAATTGTGGAGTGAAGCCTATGCAATTCAAATTAAAGATCCAAGTTCTAGCTTCATCCGTGAGTTTACCAAGTCAAGCTTATTGAAGATCAAGATCAAGCTTGGGTATATTTAGTTTAGGTTTTATATTATGTGTGTTGGTACTTTAAGCTCAATATTATACACACACATTATATTGGTTTCTATGTATATATATACAGTCATATATATATACACATTTTTGTTTTTGGTTTCTATGTATATGTAGTTATACATATACATATATGTTTCTATGTATATATATATAGTTATATATATACATACATTTTTTTAAGTTTTCATGCTTAAAAATATGAGATTACATATTTATTATTGTGTTTTGGTTTAACTATATAGATATGAAACAAATTTACATTCATATATATAATCATATGTTTCATACTCTATTTTGTTTAAAAATATATTGCATAGAATATGCAATTTTGAGAAAATATTATTTTCTTGGTTTATGGACTTAATAATAATCATATACATCTTTTATTAAGTCTACAAAATTATTTTGTAATTTTTTAAAATACGGTTAAGCTAAAATATCAAAACTCATGTGTTCACAATTTCATGTTTTGGACTATTTTGCAAAATAATGATATTTCTCATTTAGGAGTTCCTTTTTAAAAACCAGTTTTTATAGCATGTTTATTATCATATCTACAATCATCTCTCAAAGTTTCATAATTTTTGGAATTTGGTTGATATTTTTAAACAGGATTTTAAAATTAGTAAACTGTTTTCAACCTGGAATTTCTGAAATATCAGTTCGCGGTCGACCGGCCTTGGCGCTACGGTCGACCGATGATGGTCCAAAGACTGTGCTCTATTTTTTAACAGCTTGCGGTAGACCGGAAATGGCTCTGCGGTCGACTGCTATTTTTCCAGAGACTTGAGATTTTTTCAGAACTTTCCACGGTCGACCGGATGTGGCTCTGCGGTCGACCGCGACTTTTCCAGTTTGTTTTCTAACGGCTAGTTCTGACTCGCGGTGCCAGTGGCTCTGCGGTCGACCGCCGTCCAATAACGGCTAGTTTTTTTATTTTTCCAGCTATGTTTTCTTAGGGCTATTTGGTCTTTTTACTTGGGTTTTTGCTGATGTTTTTGGTTCCTATAAATACCCCCTTGCTCTCATCTTTCATACTAACTAATGAAATATTTTAAACAAGTTTAAAAGAGTTTTAAACAAGGGTTTAAGTTTGTTTAATGTTTGTTTAGAAGCTTTTAAGCAATTGAGGGTTTGACTTTGTGAAATCAATTCTACAAGAGCTTGAGGAGATCATCTATTGGAGTTTGAGCATCCAACTATTCTCCCTCTATCTCTTGATCCATTGAGAAGTTTCTCTAAACTCTTTTCTAGCTATATATCTATTTGGTTGATTATTATTTTATTAAAGCTAGTTTTATATTGAGTTTAGATTTGATTAATCTCATTGTTACACACACCCACTTGAGCTTATTGTATTTTCATACATAGTATTATTGGGGTTGTGAGAGATTGTAACCTTGAGTTGTGCTTAACTTAGTTCTTATCTTGTTTAGAGAACAAATCATTTATTGTTATTGTGCTTAATTGTGAGGATCACTTTGTAATACACTAGCACACCAAGAGGAGTGTGTGGTGAGAGACGAGGTCGTCCCAAGAGGAGTGGGGTAGGTGATAATGTCTAGAGAGAGGTTGTAATTTCTAACACTTGAGGGAGACACGAGCTAGACACCAACACTTGAGGTGGTAGTTAGTATAGTTACATTGTGAGTGTGGATTGTAAAGTTTTCGGTTAACTAGAAAACCGTATTTTGAGGTGTAAACGTTATTCGGGTGAGCGTAGAAAATCCGGTTATGATAGTGGAGATCTCCTCGAGGTGAGGAGCGGGGACGTAGGTCATGGGGACCGAACCTCGTGAACATATCGTTTGTTTGTGATTGCATTGGCGTACTTATTTTTTGTGTTTATCATTATATCGCCTTTGTCAATTCCTCATTGTTTATATTTCCTACTATCCTATTTATCTTGTTTATGATCATTTCACCCTTGTGTTAGTTTATATATCTTTGCATATATTTTACCATATACCTCTTTGCTAGGATATATATCTCTTTGTTCATATCACTTATCCTTGCATATATCTTGTTGTATATGATACTTGCTAGGATAATTTATTAATAAGTTTTAATTGGCACTTAAATCAGATTAGATTAGCATAAACTCTATTCACCTCCCCTCTAGGGTTCTTTCCTAGTGGCATTAGGGTCTAACAATTGGTATCATAGCTTGGTGCTCTTTGATTTAAGGTCCAATCGCCTTGAGTTAAAGATCCAAGTTATCTTTTTGTGCTAATCCAACTTTTGATTATTGTATCTTGCTTGCATATTTTTTTAAGTTATGGATATTGTATGTTGGAAAATTTTCAATGAAAAGAAAAAAAGAAAATTGACTTGTATTTCTTTGATTCCGATTATAATTCGATTACAAAAGAGAAGAGAACGAATTTGGTTCTCTCCTTTGTTTAAAACTTGGTTCTTCAAGGTAGCGATGGAGTGCCTCCTTCGATTGCTCGCGTCGAATTTGCTCTCCGTTGACGATCCGACCGTCTTTTATCTCGTGGGAACGATGAACTTCTGTGGAAAGTCTGATGGGTAACTCTGAATGAGTTTAAGAACTCTGAACGAGTTAGAACTCTGTGAATAGAGTTGTTAGAACCGAAAATTCGGTTAATGACCAAGCAGATATTCTGTTGTTGAAGAATCCTTTCGGTTTTGATCTTCTGGACTTGATTCAAAAATCCTATCTCCAAGGATTTTTGTCTCTCTCCTTCCTCTCTGTGCAGTTGAGATCCTGAACAACTAATTTGCTACTTCTCCGTACCAAAAAGCCAGCCCTTAACTCAGTTGAGTTTGTTGAGTTTTTATAGGTGGATAAGAGATTGTAACTGCCCTCTAAATCCGCTCCTAAGTGGGCGTGATTTCCTCAGATCGTGGGAAAATAGTTTTGAAACCGTTCGACTCGTATTTGAACAAGTCAAACACCCAATCTGGCGTTCAGAACCCAATGTCGCCTCTTAGAATTGAGACGCGATGTTGGGTGTTGGCTGAACACCAATGAACGCGAGGGTCGCTCGCGTTTTGGCTTGTTGCTGCTTGGAAACGCAGGGGTCGGTGTTGGCTGAACCTCCCGAACGCGAGGGTCGCTCGCGTTTGGCTTGTTATAGCTTGGAAATGCGGGGGTCTCCTGCATTTCCAAAATTGTGATGCGGGGATGACTTCCGTGTTTTAGAAGGGGTTAGTTGATTTGTAACCTCTTCTACAGAGCGTTGCAAGGACCGTTGTTCAGTAATCCTAGCTTTAGCTGTTGTGGAATGTGAAAGTCGTCTGATTGTAACTTTCACTGTAGATTGTGAAGACTGGTGAATAGAGTTCTCATCAGTTGTCTGAAGTGTCGTTGAATTGTAACTCTTCTCGATCTATGTGAAAAGTCCTCCATTTGCAGCTTTCGTTTGTCGGCACGAAAACTATTTGATTGTAGCTTCCATTGTTAGAACTTGACGGGAATCAATCATCCATAGTGATTTTTAGACGAATATTTTCCCACAGCTCTCTACCAAGCAACTCACCAACTAAGTCCAACCTTTTATTTCTAAAATCATTACACTGCTCATCAGCATCTCCAATAGTTGCTAATATAATATTAGTCATGCCATTGTCGCAGCCATCAAGATCAATCATCTCAAAGATGAGGCCGTGTTTATAGCGGTTGCAGAGTTGTAGATACAGCGATTAGAAAGTCGTTTGATTGTAACTTCCTTTGTCGGAACTTGTTTGGATCAGCTATCCATTATGATTTTTAGACAGCCTACAGATATGAATGATACATCTTGTTTAGGCTATGATCCTAGTATTGCTCCTAAATTCAATGCTTTCCCCTATGATCAATGGTGCTTTAGATTCAAAATATTTGTTCAATCTAAAAATATTAATTTGTGGGAAGTTATTGAGTGTGCTTATATTGTGCCCACATTGGAGAAATTAAAGTGGAGCAAACATGATAAAAAGATGTTTACTATGAACAAGCTTGTATTAGAAGTTTTGTTAAATACATTTGACTCATCAATGTCTAATAAGTTTGA